GCGCTAGTCTGGACGCTCCGCGGTCGACATCAAAGGCATTTGTTGACCTCCCCGTTATGCCTCGTGGGATGAGGTTTACCGGGGAGGTCGAGAAATGCCTTTGATGTCGACCGCGGAGTGTCCAGACAAGCGCGCTGAGCCAACAAACAGCTGATCGGCTCAGCGCGGCAGCCATTTAAATTTAAACGAAGCGGCAATTATTTAAATCTCCGCTTCATTTTCCTATGCCGAGTAGCCTAATCTACATGCCTCTGTCGCCAGAGGCATGTAGTCTAGACGTACCCTAGGTGTCCAAGGAAGGAGTATTTGTAGGCTGGTGGCAAACAGTGACAGCTGTTCCCCAACCCAATGGGAATGGGGAGAAAATTCAAACTAGCTGTGGAGCATCCACCGGCCACTTATGTGAAACGTTGTGCAGCTCTGTTGGCTCCCAGTCCGAGACTTGCACCCCATGCCCATCCTTGAGAACAATCCCATTGGCTTCAGCTCAACTACTTGCATGAGTCACGGTGGCAGCGTCGGGCCTTTAGGGCATTGTTGGAACTCCTTCTGGCATAGTTTAAGACAGTGTTTCTTAAACTTTTGAAGACCGAGGAACACCAAGCAATTTTTTTTTTATGAGGAACACCAAAGATTTTTTGTTGAGCAAAAAAAAAAGAATTCGGTTGTTCTCCATGGCACTCCTCCTACTGCCTTGCGGCACACCAGTGTGCCACGGAACACAGTTTAAGAAACACTGGTTTAAGAGGTCACCAACGTCCTTCGAGCCTATCCCCTTGGATCTCGCTGCAATAAACCCCATTGCTCCTTCTTCAGGTGCTGAAGCCATTTACTCCACAGCTGCCCTTAACTGAGCCATCTCCAACACAGTCACTGCTTTACGGTCATTAGAAGGCATATTACAGCCATCTAGACCTGTCTCACACATTTACATTCCTCTATGCTTAGGCCCAGCGGGACCAGGGAAGGTTTCACAGCCGATGCGCTGCCAGACAGCACTAATTAAGCAAGAAGCAACTGTGGCATGTACCTCCTACAGCTTTGCAAAGTGGAGAAAGGGGACTGGAGGAGGCAACCAAGTAGCTGCTGCACCCTGAACAGCCAAAATGGTGCCTTCTATTTAAGACAATTAAGCGCCTGATCCTGCGAGAGGATTAATGTCCTGTGTGAAGTTGTCCTCAATTTCCACTGTGATCAGTGAAGCAGTCTAACGAGTCTAGATGGGGGCAGGGAGTTCACAGGGGGAGCAGCAGAGACCTGGGGCTGATTGCAAGGAAGTGGTAACTGAGGGTCACAGTTAAAGTTGGTCAATTTCTTTTTTTTTTTACCAAAAGGTCTTATTGTGACAATATATGTGCGCAATGTTTCCCAGATGCACGTCTGTTGCACTGAATTTGTTTCAAACCCACCTTCCCAAAATATTTAAGAAAAAACAAACACTTTGCTTTTACATTTGTTAAATGAAACACATTTGTTCAAAATGACTGTTTTGAACCCTTGAATTTTTTAAAATGTTAAAAAAAAATGGCCAGAAATCTGGGTCGAAATTTCCCCCCCAACTTTTTGATTCACCAAATTTAAAAAACAAACAAACCAGTTTGCTCCAAAGTGAATTTCTGGTTTTAAGTTTTCGGCACCACCAGTAAATTGAGCAATCGGTTCTTTGCCTAGCTCTGGTCACCATCGGGAACACTTATTACATGGCTCCGAGAGGATGGGCTTGGTGCCTGGCATGAACCGCAACGCCCAGCACCTCTGCACTCTCATCCACAGACCCTCAGCCTGCAGGTTGGGTTTGCACTTCTTGGTCCTTCAGACATTAGCAAAGGTGCCCCATTTGCACTGCCTGGTACACAGTCACCAGGGCATGTTGAGAAGGGTTCAAATGACATTGCTGGGGGTGTATTTACTTAAACTGAGAGGCCGTGACAAGCCACGGGCTCCGGTGAGCGTGTGACTGTTGCCTGCCGGCTGGAGCATGCCGCTGACTCCACATGCCTTGTCATGCTGCACTGCAGGTGGTCACCTTGGTACGGATGCTCCTGGGCTCAGCTCGCAGGGACCCATGCGTAGGCCTGCGAACTGAGAGCCGGGCCGGAGAGGCTGGCCCTGTCTGTGTCTTACCTCCTCGAAGAGCTCCAGGCTGTAGGTGTTATCGTCGTCGGCGAAGTAAACAATCCCAGGCTGACTGCTGTTTTTGTTAAAAGTCTCTCTCAGCCACCGCAGGGCCAGGTTCCTCTGCATGGTCCCCCGGGGAATGCGGGGGTCCCTCATGTCCCCCCTCAACTTGTAGTTGCGGGGCGTCTCCACGTTCGCAGCCGGGTGACGAGAGGCGTGCGCCGCTGAGAGTCCTCCACCAGGATCCAGTGCAGGTTGGGCACGTGCAAGAGGGTGTTGGCCAGGCGCGTCAGCTCTGCCTTTTGCACCGGCCGGCTGTAGGTGGGGGTGATGACGTGGATGGTGGGGAGGGTGTCCGACCACGGGGGCGGGCGGGTGTACACGTACTCTGTCCTCACCACCTCCACAATGTCGCGGTCCGACAGACAGTACTCCTTGGAGTCCGAGCCTTGGGCCAGATCACGCCGGGAGTCACCACCATCATCTGCACAAGGGCACGAGAGGAAGAGCACACAGTCATCCAAAAGCCTCCTCGGCAAGGCCAGCGGTCAGCTTGCCAGCCCGGAAGTCACCCTCTTGGTCTGAGAGCAGAGGAGACAACTGGAAAACAAAGGCCTTTTGCAAGAAATCAAGAACCCCCAAGCCACATGGGCAAAGTTCAGACAGCTCCAGGCTAGCAGCAGGGAAGTGCTCAGAACAAGCAGCTTTAAGGGCCCAAAGAAACAGCAACCAAGCGCAACACCCGTGTGTAGAAAAACAGACACCCTGACATGGATACAGCCCCTTCCATCCCACAGTACTTCACATCCCGTGCCCCATAGAGCAGCTCCTGCTGCTGAGGCAGGACTCTGCAGCCATGCACAAATGCATTGCCGCAGATCAGGACAGCAAATGAAGAATGAAGAGACAAGATGGGTACACAGAACGGAGATGGCTGAAGTTGGGATTTGGCCCAGGTAATATTGGATCCACCTTACCAGATGCCCAGGGTTGCCAGATGGTTTCAACAAAAACACTGGACACACTTGACATTACATCACAGTCTATATTGCATCTGATTTAGAAAATACCCGACATTTCTATTCTCTCATTTCTATTCTCTCAATTTGTTTCCCGAACAGAAAGCTGAAATACAGAACTGTCCGGTTCAAAACCGCACACCTGGCAACCCTAGGTATTCCTGAACTCCAACCACTCAGCTGGGATCTTGAAATAGGTCACCTTTTCACTTGACAAGTGTTTACATATCTCGGACTCTCATTCTGGGAAGTCCTAGGGCAGCGAGGGGCGACGTAGGCTGATGAAGGGGGCTGCATGAGTGGCCCCCTTTTTACTCAGTGGGCTGCAAGACTGTCATAGCCAAGACGGTCTCCCGGGACAGGGCAGTTTTGCAAACTGTGCTTGCGTACCTGGAATCTGTGGGGTGTGCCAATTGAGCACTGTGATTGGATGCAGAGGGATCATCCGGCTGTCAGTCAGCGTTGTGTGCAATCAGCACGCCCCTCACTTCACATTCCCTTGCTTGAAGCGCATGTAATATCGATAGGGAAAAAACCATGTGGATGAAAATCAGCAGTATCTGGAATCCCGTGCGTGAGCAATAGGGAACAAAATGTCTCGTGGGGCACATGCAGACCCCCGAAGGGCTGCATGCAGCTCTCGGGTCACAGATTGCTCACCTCTGGCTGAGGGTCTTTTGATGCATCTTTTATTTAGCTGTTGCAAAGTCCTAGTTAGGAATCTTGCCTGTATCTGTAATGTCCCGCAATAACATGACAACTCTTGCCCTCAGAATTCTTCAGAATCCCCTGCCAAGAGTTTCACTCTACATTGACTAAGACAAAATCAGCCCTCATATCTAGGCTTTGCTGTTTCAATTGATACTGTCCAAGTTATAAAAAAGCACAAATGTTTCTTTTTAACATTTTTCAGATTTTTGCCTATTTACATTTTCATAGTGGTGGGGCTCAGAATAATTATTTAATGACAGCAGATGTTAAGATTTAGAACAGCAAAGCTCCGTAACTGCTCAAACACACATTGCCGGCATCGCGTGTCAAAATACACCAAGTAAACAACCTTAAATCAACATTCTAATAATTTCTCCAGCAGCGTTTTTGCTACTGTGCCTAGCTGCACATCTCGATTATTATGGATGGAAACATTTTGTGAGTGTGTGTGTACACGATAATACTGATGTTTACCAACAAAAAATGAAATCCTTCCAAGCCTACTCATGTGCTTGCCATTTTCAGGGCACTGCAGCCCTGCCATCAGATCTATAATTATGCTAGGAATGATCAAACTTAATGACAGATTGCAACACTTACGGTCCAGAGTGTAAGCCAGCCATTGCCTGCAGGGCATGTGATAACAATCCACAACGGGGTTCTGATACTTCCCAAGAGTGTTTAGTACCAGAGGTCAAAAGGATACAGGATTAGAGGGACCATAAGTCTGACTCACTAGAACAATTCCTACGTTCTTGGCGTATCCTTATCTGTTATCCTGCGTTACCCATCACCCTGGACGTTGGAGCAAACACCACAAGTGACTTCAGACCCACTATGTCAAGTAGCTGAGCATCCCATCTCCAGTGAAAACCGAAGGGCGGGTAGGCTGTTCAGCACCTGCCAGGATCAGGCCCTGTCTCCGAAAAGTTACACCCACTTTGCACATCCCAGCTGTCTGGGACTCTGAAACCCGGGAAGCAATTCACACCCTGCACAAAGCGCGAAACATATTTGATAGCGCAGCGGCGGAACATGATTAGACAGAGTGGAACTGGGCCAGGGCATGTGGGATCATCATTAGTCATCGCCTGTGGGTCAAGAAAGACCTCAGCTTTAAGTCCTCTGGCCCTTCCATGCCACACACACTGTGGGACCATCACTGATTTGCTCTCATCTCTGGCGCCTCCCACACAAGGCTCTTAAAGCTGCTCTAAGGAAAGCCACTGTCTTCACACACACCCCTTGTACAGATGGGGAAACTGACGTACGGAGCATAGAAGCACTTGGCCCAGGGTGTCACACTGAATCAGAAGCAGAGCTGGGAACAAGACCCAGTTCCACTCCTGGGCCACAGGAGGCCACTGTTCACAGAAGTGTCTCCTAGCTTCCCAGGCACTGGGCTGAGCCCGGAGGGGTGGGGAGACGTAACAGCATCATCACACGAGCCTTTCAATTCCAGTGTTCGCTCTGTGGTGCTGCGCTCCCCCGGGCCATGGAGTGAGCTCTGGCCCAACTGACCCTCTCGCTGGGGGACAACTATAACCTAAGAGCTGCCCTGAGGCACTTGTGTGACAGAAGCCCCCTTCTCCTCCAGGTCGTCTAAGGACGGGGGGGCTGAAGCTGCTCAGAAGGTCTTTGATCTGCTGGCAGATTTAAATAGCACATCGGCCCACAGGTGGGGAGTAAGGCAAAGCCACCCCTAAGAGAGGAGCAGGGCACCTGGAGACAGAAAAGTCAAGGGAGGCGCGTTTAGAGCTTGAGATGGGGAAATGGAGCTTACAGACACACCAGCGCTCCTCTCCAAGATGGAAGCCAGGAGACAGTGGGTCCAGTGAAAAGACAGAGAGGGGAGGGCGGCTACTGTGTTGAACGAGAGGGCGTCTTTCTGATACGGCTTGTGCTCCTGGGGCATTGCTGCCACTGAAAACAGAGCAAAGATCCACTCCCTCAGAACCACCCAGCCACACCCAATCTCCCTTACTCCGGACCGGAATGCCACTCTGGGCTTTGGGTGCCCGGCCATGTAGACGCTGCCCCTCTCCTGACGGTCTACTCCAGATGCTGAGACGAGCAGGGAGCCCTGTGCTCCCTCTCCCCAGGCCTGTGCATCTCAGCCCGAGCCCCTCAACTCTGGAATGCAGAACCCAGCCTCCCGCTGGAAGGCCCCTGCCCAGGGGCGCTGGAACAATTTGTGCAGTGGGGCATTGACCCAAACTGTGCACCCTGCCCGCAATGGAAACCACTGCCAGTAGGGGGTGCTGCCGCACCACCCGCACCCCTCCTGCCAGCACCCTGGCCACTGCTCTTTCCCCTGCCAGATCTTTTCTGCTGCATTTGGCAGCATCGCTTCAGCTGCTGTTTTTATTACCAAATGGGTGGTCAGTGCCTGCAGGGACCGTCAGAAGGGCTTTCCTCTCCCCTCTGGAGCCGGACGCCCGGCGATGGCTTCCTGGGAGTAGGAAACACAGACACCGGGCAGCGGGCGGCATCTTCTCTCAAGGCTCTGTCCTACGGCCTCCGTGACAGGAGCCAACAGGATAAACTACCCGGCTGCCAAGCCACAGGCCTGGCGCTTTGCACGAACCCCTCCCCCCCGCACTGGGCTCTCCCTGTAACGGAGAGGGGAGGCTGCTGGCTGAGCACGGGCCACACGTGGAGATGAGCATGGTGCCACGAGAGGGATGGAATGAGACATGGGGATGTGGCATGGGCGGGGCGGTTCTCACCCTTGTGCACTGCAAGCAGGGGTGCAATGGTGCTCTGGTGCCAGACGGTGATTAACAGCGTCCAGGGCAGGACTATCAGCACGATAGCCAGGATGTCTCTTCTCTTCGGCATCTCCAAGACTGACTGGACCCACAGCTCCTCATTACCTGACAGCGAAAACCCCAGAGACAGAACAGCAGAGCACATGGAGAACAGAAATAAATGGGCAAGAAGGAACAGGGACAGAGAGAGAGCAGCGAAGGCAGCACAGCTCGCAGGTCTTACCAGCGCTCACAACCCACCCATTGCAGAAGCAGGTTCGGAGAGGCCGCGGCTGCAGGGGCTGGAGGCCGAGCAGGGAGCGTTTTCACGGGGCGCCGCCAGAGCCGCCCGGGGGAGCTTCAGGGACCCCTCGGGAAGGAAACCTAAAAACACAAAGCAAAGGAGAATAGGCAGAGAGAAGCCCCAAGGACGCGGGGAACTGCCAGGGTGCTCAGGGCTTTGCATTCACAGCAATCACGCCAGTGCCAGCGTGCAAGACCCGGCAGTGTCTCTGAGCCCTCCCCCAGCCAGAGATGGACACCTGGGAATGAGCTCCAGGCAAATATCCATGTGTTTGGATCCCAGTGCGTCCCCAGCATTCTGCACTTGCCATCGCAGCCTCTTCTCCCCTGCAGGAGCCCTGCAGCAGCTCCCCAGGCTGCACGAAGTCTCCACAGCCACACTGGCCTCAGCAGACTGCAAATCGGCTTTGCTACGGGCGAACTAACAGGCCAAGCAGCAGGATCTGTTGGCGAGAGAAAGGCCAGCCTTCCCCGCCGCCACACGTTCCCAGCTTTGCGCAGACAAAAGGAGCAATCCAGGAGTGCCCGAGCGAATCACTAGCGAGCCGGGAAGAGGCACTAGCGAGCCTTTTGCACCAGAGCATCTTGGCACCCTCCCCCAAGGTGTGGGTCCATCGTACAGGCAGGGAAGCAGAGCCCCACAATGACTCGGTGGCTTGTCCAGTGTGTAAATCATCGGCAGAGGCAGGAGCTGGCGCCCAGACCTGTGCTCTGACCACTCAGCGGCGCTGCTCTCTGCCAGGTGGTGGACGTGGCAGAGAATCCAGTGCTGCCCCCATGTGACGGAGGAGCTTCACTCCGATGCGACTGGGGAGGTTGCCGCAATGACACGGGTTACTCCGCACTCCACCTGTCGCTGTAAAAACCTCAGGCCAAATCTCCCAGCCCCTCCCACTTCCACGTCTGCCGCCTGGAAGAGACAGTCCCCAGCAGCCTGTCTCTTCTCCTCCTGCAGACTCGCTCTGTGTTCATTTCTCCCCTCTCGGCACTGCCAGGCCTGGGGTACATGAAGCTGCCACACGGGCTTAGTCGGATTCAATAGGAGCACCCACACGTTTGAAGCAGACTGTATTTGATCTGGGTGTTATCTTGGCAAGCCGCACACAGCACTTAGCCGGCACACGCAGGGCGGACAGTTTGCAAACACGGAAGCAGTTTAGTGCTCTTGCTCCCTGGGGGGATGCATTAGCCAGCCGCACCAAACCCCTGCATTGCTACTGCATATTGCAAAGGCCTTGTAGGGACTGGACCACAACAATAGGGTCCATAATGCCAGCGTACCCTTCAGAGGGCACGTACCCTAGGCCTCGTTCAAGCCCTTTATCACAGGATGCTTTCTGCATCGTCAGAGCCTCCGCTGACCCTGGGGAAAGGGCGGACCCCGGTGACGCTCCAGGGGCCTGCAAAGGATCAGGCAAGCGGCAGACGGTGGTGGAAGATGTGGCCAGCCCTACAGAGACGGCATAAAACAGAACCACATTCACCTACTGGAACCGAGCTTCCTAGCGCCCCGTCATTGACACCAACAGGAACAGGCTTGCACAGGCGGTGCCCTGGAGATGCTGTGTGTGGCCAAACGCTCCCTGTTGCTCAGAAAGCGCCTCCCGCTGCTCCAGAGCCATTTCGCCTGCATCATACCCAATGACAGACAGACCCTGCAATCCATGCAGCTGCCCGTGGGCGGGAAAGGGAGCTGGATGGAGCACATGCATGGAGGAGAGCACATGCAGCTCCTTCCGCATGGCCTTAGTCAGCATTGATTCCCTATAACTGGCAGCCTAGTGCTTCACAGTTCCCATGTCAGCTGTCTACCGGGCCGGCTCGCCAGCTGCCAGAGATCAATGCAGCCCGCTCCATGTCCAGTGGGGCTAGCTGGTGAGTTTGGTTTGCCCGCATTCTCCCAATGGCAGGAGAAGGTGCAGAGTTCATGGGCACTCTGCCATAGAAACACCTTCCTTAATAAGCCTCAGATCTGCTGGAATCCAGGGCTCCTGGCAAGCCACAAGTGCCTCCAGAGCTCCACCAGCTTCACAGGCACGGTACGTAAGCAACGCCGCTTTGCCCCGCCCCGCCCTTCCAGCATGACGTGCGAGGAAATGCTGTTCTGGAAACAGCAGGAGGTCTGGGATTCCGGGGATGAATCCCTGGCAACCCTAGTGTAGCATGGCTGAACAGCAGCTCATGAAACATTCTCCCCTGGAAAGGAGGGTTCTCATACAGGACCCATGATGCTGGCCAGAATCATTCACTTGTCCATCCTAATCATAGAATCCTAGGGCGGGAAGAGACCTCAGAAGGTCAAGTCCAGCCCCCTGCCCAAGGCAGGACCAATCCCAACTAAATCAACCCAGCCAAGCCAAGACTTAAAAACCTCTAGGGATGGAGATTCCACCCCCTCCCTAGGGAACCCATCCCAGCGCTTCACCTCCCTCCTAGTGAAATAGTTTTTCCTAATATCCAACCTAGACCTCCCCACTGCAATGTGAGCCCATTGCTCCTCGTTCTGCCACCTGTCACTACTGAGATCAGCCTCTCTCCAGCCTCTTTGGAACCTCCCTTCAGGAAGTTGCAGGCTGCTCTCAAACCCCCCCTCACTCTTCCCTTCTGCAGACTAAACAAACCCATGGTCCCCTGTTTTCTCCCAGCCTACCCCTCACCAGGCAAGGGGGAAATGCCACCCAAATTCATACAGTTTCTACCTTAGTCTCTTCTAACCCTCCCCCCTTAAGGCGTTCCTCCACTGCAATGCCAGCCAGCCACCCCTGCTTGGCAAGCCATAAGGAGTGCGGCTTTCCGGCTCAGCTGTTCGTTTCATCCGTATCTCATACTCCCAAGTCACCCTGGTCCTTGACTGGGCTTCCTTGGCACCACAACAATCCCACTGGAAAAGGCGCAACAGGACCAGAGGGCAGTGAGCACAGAAGGGGGTCACCGTGGAATGGGACAGCCCCGTGCAGAGAAGAGCAAGGAGAATGCCCCACTTCTCTAGTGGGGTACCCCAACCTTGCTAGGCCTAGGAAGGGCTCCTATAGGGCAGCCTGCTTATGCTCCCTTTCCTTTAGGTGGTGGCTTGACATAGGAAGGAAGGAATCCATCTGTTGGAGGAATTCCCCAGCTCATGTTTCCCATTCGGATTCAGAAAGCCAAGTCACAGGGTCACAATCAGACCATGACCCCTGCTCCCCCACTGAAGGGCAGCTATGGCTGGGCGTCTGCTTCTGGGCAGGTCCCTGGGGGCTCTCAAGTTGTCTCCTTTACGCCAGGTGTCTGCAGCCTCAGTTGCTTGTCAACGTTCAGAAACGCTCCCTGCCTTTCATTCAGCAGGGAAGACGTTTGCTCAGTGCTATTCAATGGATACGATTTTATAGACTACCTTCCAAAGTCTGAGCGAAGGACATTATGTGAACTCACCTGGCACAACCAGAAGTGGTGTAAGCATTACATTTAAACAAGGCTCTCAAGACACGGTTATGCAATTGAGGGAGCCAGTGCAGAGCTGAGTCTGCTTAATAAAAAGCTATGCTGCTACATTGCCCAGTGAACTCTGGAAAAAACAAGGTGAAATTCACTCTGCCGCATGCATCAACTGTGATCGACACGCTGTCTGGCTCATGCCCTGTAGAGTGAGGGTGTGTATCTCTTGTTTCTGTTTTTTAAAAATAGGTATTATGGTAATTTGGGTTTATTGTATTGTAATTCTTGTTATCCAGATCAATATCCAAGCTCTTAACTCCAGTGGTATCTTGCAGCAATAAGTGATTTGAATATTCATGTACATTCTATTAAAATTATGTTTATATTAAATTTCCTGTAAGCATTCCCGCACACAAACCAGGAAACCCAAACACAACGGCATTAGGGCCGTGCATAAGAAATAGACGGTGAAACTGACTAAATGCCAGATTGCAGATCAAAGCAGCCTTGTTTCAAAAATTAACCAGTGGCAGAGTTTAGGTTGGGTCAAGTCAATATTAAAAAAAAAAACCATTCCATAATTATCCTTCCGTGCTGTAATGCGCTGACCGTGCGTAGTGCTGCTCCCTCCTGGGTGGAATTAGAACTCCTCCACGTGTGCCAGTCACGCTTGCAGCAAATCAAAACCTAGGGTGGGGAAACAAAAGGCTTTTCTGCCTCAAAAAGAAACACTTGTGTTTTGTTCCCATTTTTTTTTAACAAAAAAGCGATTTTTTTCTTTTGCTCTGAGTTGAAAATGTGTTTAGTTTCAGTAGATTTTTTTTTAATAAAAAAGCGATTTTTTTCTTTTGTTCTGAGTTGAAAATGTGTTTAGTTTCAGTTTTCACAAACTCAAATCTTCATCTCTGGCAGTGTGGGTGGGAAACCCATTTTCTCCCCTCCCCTCCCCTCTTTAGGAGAGAGAAAAGAAAAGACGGGAACTCAAACCTAAAATGAGAACCAAAATGAAACGACTGGAGATCACAAGAGAACCTGCCTGGGGACCAGGTTATCCCATCACTGACATGGCAGGAGTCTGGCCACTGTCAGAAAGGAAGGCCCAGACGGTGCTACCCACTCTACTTCTATTCACAGGCCAGTTTGAAAGGTGACTGTTCTTACAAAACTTGCATTTGGGGCCAAGCCTGAGCTCCGTTCCCTGCTACCAAATACCAGTTTAAACTGAATTGACATTTTCGGAGTCTCCCCTTTGTACGGAAAATGAAACTGGGGGGATGAATTAGATAAATTAGAAGAAACTTAAAAACAACAAATGGTCTGGTAGCTGTGGAAGAAAACAAGCCTTCACTCTGCGTTTGTGAGCAACAAGTCGTCAGAGACAGTTTATTCCAGCAATATTGCCAGGGAAGGAGCTACTGCTAGGCAGATCATCAAATACAAAACAATCAGAAGCCAATAGATATACTGTCCGTTATATATAATAACAATCAACAATTATTCCCCTTTCCATAACAATTCCCTTCAGACGCCACCTTATCACAAGGTCTTCACTAGAGTCAGCATTCTATCCTGATCTTAAAGAGAGAGGCCAGAGGCGAAAACAGCATCACTCACAGCTTTCGCGTTATTAGGTCTCAGAGGGTCTGTCTACACTACAGCACTAATTC